AGTTATAAGCTACTTAGCTGCTCTAAGTAGCGACAATAATATTAGAATGTGAATATATAGATACTCATGCTTATAGTTAAAATCTGATGATGTGTATATATATATGTGTGTGTATATATATATGTGTGTATATATATATATGTGTGTATATATATATATATAAAGGGGAATTGTAAGTGGAAAAGAAAGGTGATTATAAAGTAGAAAACAGAACAGAAAAGAGGGAAAATATCCAGTCACTTAGGTTTCTTTAATTCTAGAGTGATCCTATGTATATACAAATACTGGAAATTTTATAGAAAGAGAAAGTCTCCTTAAAATTTGGCCATGTACTATCAGTAGCTTCAGATCACTGAAGATCCATAAGTTTATGCTTAGAAGATAATCTTAACAATGCTTTGGCAGCATCTGGTTATTTAAAACCATGTTTTAATTTCACATGAAGTACATTACATTAGAAATATCTGGACCACTGTTGTTTACCATATGCTACAAGACAGATTTTAAAAATAACATATAATTTGCTTTTATTCTTATATTCCTTTTGGAGTACGGACTCACAGAATTACAAAATAATTGAGGTTGGAAGGGATTTATGGAGACCCAAACAACCCCTGTTGGGGGCCATTACAGGAAATTGCTCACCATCATGTCCAGACAGCTTTTGAGTGTCTCCAAGGATGGAGATTCTGTAGTCTCTCAGGACAACCTCTTACGATACTTGGTCACCTTCACAGTAAAAAAACTATTTCCTGATGTTCAGAGGCAACCTCCTGTGTTTGTGTCTGTGGCCCCTGACCCTGTCACTGGGCACCACTAGGAACAGTCTGGTTCTGTCCTCGTTGCCCTCTCCTTTCAGATATTTATATACATTAATGATATGCCACCCCAAGCCTTATCTTGTCTTGAATAATAGTCCCAGTGCTCTCAGCCTGACCTCATGGGAGAGATGCTCCATTGCCTTTTGTTGTATTCATGGACCTTTGTTAGACACCCTCCAGTATGTTCATGTCTGTCTTGTACTGAGTAGCCCAGAACCATACACACCACTCCAGGTGTGACCTCACCAGTGTTGAGCAGACAGGAAGAACCATTTCCCTTGACCTCCTGGCAATGTTTTGCCTGATGCAGCCCAGACACCATCAGCTTTCTTTGCAGTAAGGACACATTGCTGACTCATGTTCAACATTGTGTCCTTCTGGACCCTCAGGTCCCTTTATGCAAAGTTTTTGAATTTCGGTAAAGGTTTTCATACTATCTCTCACAGGATCCTTCTGGACAAACAGTCCAGCCCACAGCTGGATAAACACATCATGTGGTGGGTAAGCAGTTGGCTCACAGGTCAGGCACAGAGGCTAGTAGTGAACGGGGGAGCATCAGGCTGGAGACATGTCACTAGTGGAGTTCCACAGGTCTCCATCTTAGGCCCTGTGCTCTTCAACATCTTTATAAATTACTTGGAGGCCAAACTGGAGGGGAAACCAAGTAAGTTTGCAAATGACACAAAACTTGGCAGAACTGTTGACTCCCTCCAAGGTGAGGAGGCCCTGCAGAGAGACCTCAACAAATGAGAGGACTGGGCAATCACCATAGGAAGTTCAACAAGGGAAAGTGGCAGACTCTGCACCTGGGATGGGGCAACCCTGGATGGACATACAGACTGGGGGATGAGCTACTGAAAAGCAGTGCCAAGGAAAGGGTCCTGGGGGTCCTGGTCAATGGCCAGTTGAATATGAGTCAGCAGTGCCCTGGCAGCCAGGAGGGCCAACTGTGTCCTGGGGGGCATCAGGCACAGCATCACCAGCCCGTCGAGGGAGGTGATTGTCCTGCTCTGCTCTGCACTGGTGTGACCTCACCTTGAATATTGTGGCAGTTTTGGGCACTACAATATAAGAAAGATGTTAAGCCTTTAGAGAGTGTCCAAAGGAGAACAACGAAGATGGTGAAGGG